CTTTATTATTTAATCTAATTAGTTGTTTATATGGAGCACTTACTTCTGAGATAAAGAAACTTTTACTCGATTACAAATTCAGTAAAGCAGTAGATGAGAGCCAGGTTAGTTTTTTCATTTTCAAAAGGCCATAATTTATAAATAACAATATATTGATTAAACTATTCTATAACCTTTTTTTTTTTATATCAAAGCCATATTTCAAATTTTTGACCTTACTCTACGATCAACCACTGAATACATTTAGTGATGTGGTATTCAAATTATCGTCTTCTGAAGAAATTCACGCGCATCGATGCATCCTTTATGCACGATCAAAGTACTTTGCCAATAAATTAGAAACTATCTGGCGTAATTATGAAGTTATAGAAGTTCTAGAATCACAATGGCATCCAACATGTTTCCGCGGAATTTTAAGATATTTATATACAGGCGAAATAGTCATAATTACTAAAGATTTAGAAACTAAAATGATATCATTGTGTCAACATTTTGAATTAGATAGTCTGGCGGAACGTTACAATGATAGCAAAATTTCAAAAAAAGAAGCACAAGTACTTGATAAGTTAGAGTCGCAAGTACTTCGACAAGACTTTGAAAAGTTTTTTAAAGATAATATATTAAAAAGTAAAAAGTATATGAAGGATGACGGAACATCAAGCGATGATATTTCAAATGGTAGAGAATTACAAGGATTTACCCAAGCAGACATTTGTATTCAAATAGATCAAGAAATTTTTCCTTGCCATAAGGTCTTCCTTACGGAACGATCAGAATATTTCAAAGTCATAATAACAGGACCATTTGCTGAAAGCCGACAGATGGATACAATTTATTATGAAAATCGTCGTATATCCAAAATAACAATTTCAGATTATTGTACACCAGAAATATTTGCATTGATATTAGAATTTATTTATATAGATAAATGTGATATTCCACCTAACCTTTCGTATCAAGTCCTTATTGAAGCAGATAAATTTTTACTTGATAAGTTGAAATCACTTGCATCCATAGTATTGACTAATCAGTCAGAACCACAAGAAGATATTTATACGTTGATGAGAGC